AAATCTCTGAGATATTATTTAGATTTTAAAAGATATTGATTCTTTTATGATATTATTTAGAATTGAAATATATTATATTTATTTTAGAGATTTGTTTTCTTTTTTAAAATAGTGATGTAAGATTAATAAATAGAGACTCTTGAGATGAGACTCTCTCTGATCTTTTTTATAAAATTCAATTACCTACTTCACAGATTAAAAAAGTTTATAATTTAGTTGGTAGTATTACTCATATACTAACGAGATTCCTACTCTTTCAAACAACTTATTTAACTAAGAGAAATAACTTGAATTAAGGATATTTATTATTAAAAAATAATGAAAGAAACATTTAAAATTAATTCATATGAAAAGGACCAAACAACACTTTTAATTTATGTCTTATAAAAAAAATCAAACAGAACAACCATGAAAAGTAACTTAGTAACATTGCAATATACGATCTTATTTTATTACATGTTAGACTGAAAAAATATTGTCTTGTTTTGATTGTCATATTATATATCAATAAATGTTATTAATTTTTTTTATTATTATGCCTTCAACTATTTCCTTTGGTAGTTTTACTTTCATGTTTCAACTATTTATTAGTGTAAAAAAAAATATAAATGAAAAATCTAATTAAAAATGCATAATAATTTTTTAAAAACCTTAGTTGTTAATTGTCAAACAAATTATTTAACAAACTGGGATGCAAGGAAAATGTGATTGTAAAAAAGCTTCGTTAGTTGCACAAATTGCATGGCTCGTTCACACAAATGACAAACTGTACATTACATAGTAAGATTTTTTTTTTCTTCTTTTCAATAATTTTATTTATGCAAGGTCTGTAATATTTTCTTTTGGTGTATTAATTCAGTCTTACCAAATTTCAAATAGTTAATAGCGTCTCTGAAGTGACTTGTTCAAGTTGTGTGGCAAAAGCATAATTTTGTTGGTGTATAAAGAATTGCACGTGAAATAGGAACACAGTAACAAAATTACAAGAATTGTACTGCTATGCATAGAAACCGGAAACTTCAGCATTTAAAATATTCCCACTTTCTTCTGTCTCTATTACATTACAGTATTACCTAAGCAGTTCCAATTTTCTCATTATGCAAATTCTTCAAACAGTGATTACTACATGACGAATCCAAACTTTGCTATCGGCTTTGTGGGGCCCATTTGACACCACCACTCATGGAAGTGGAGACCTTAATCCTTTGTCATTTTCTCTTTGTTTTCTCTAAAATTATCATCCTATGCCAAACTAGCATATTAATCTACGCCACAATTTTCTGCAACCAAACTTGGGCCAAGGCTAATGATATTTGCTTGATTAGAAAAATATAATGCTACTTTAATGCCAATGGGAGGATGCAAAGTCTAAGGCAAATTTGACTACTCAACAAGAAATCTCTTTCTTGCGAATATAGATTAAAACGCACTAGGTAAGTTCTCAAATGAATAAAGGATTCCCACTCCTTGTTCAAACATAGATGAGATAAAAATGCATAAAAAACATAAATGAGATAGAGACTGCTAAAAGATCTTGGTCATCCCATGAAAGGATGAAGAAGGAATCAAAGAATGATAAGGTAATAAATAGAACAGCAACAATAATTCAAAATCTTACTTGAAATAAGGCTAGAAGTTGACAGATCAAAAAACCAAAAGCTGGTAACAGAATTGCCAAAAAGGACCACCACAGCAGAGCTGGCATTGAAAATTTATTTGAGCTACATACAAACAGGCAATGGTGGAGTTTTTACAATTTTTCTGCAGCGGCTTCATCAATCAGACTTTTTTTTTTTTGCATTTATTTTTGAGGGGGGAGAAACAAAACCTTTGGCAAAGCTTTTGAACAGAGTTAAGGGGACATCAGTAATGTGCCCTTCAATCCAAAAACCTACTAAATTAATGAAGAGATCATTCTAACAAGTAACAACAAATCTACACAAGGCTAGGCATCATCACATCACTCCAATCAAATGTTTTAGCAATTAATTAATTAACTAGATAACCTCAGGTGCCATTGAACTCAAGTCCTGTTTCGAAGCCTCACTCTCAGCACCTACAACAACATTCTGGCCTTTACTCAAGCCAAAAGCATCTTTCTCACTCCCACAAGGCCGGTACAAATTCCTATTCCTCCCTCTAATGGAATATCTTCCACTGCCAAACCTGGAGCTAGAAACTTGTTCAGCCGATTTAGAACTATGCAGCACTCCATCAGCATCTCTCAGAAACTCAGGCTCCTCAGTAGTAGCCATCAAGTCCATCAAGTTGCTACTAAACCCCAAATCAGAATAGACCCTCCTAGAATACCTCATTGCAGACTTGGAGAAATCAAAGTTCCCTCCCTCCAAACCAAATTGAGCAGTCCTTGGCGCTTCAACAGGGCGCCCTACAGTCTCAACCATCATGCAAGGGTTGTTAATGTTGAAGCCATTCCAAGAATGAAGAGGCAGCAACTTACACAAGCCACAAAGCCAAATGACAACATCACTCATGGAGGGTCTCCTCTCCCTACAAGACCTGACACACTTGGCAGCAATGACAGCCAGTTGCTTCCTGACGAGCGGATCCTTAGGGGGTGCTATCCTGGGGTCATACACACCCAACAATTTCCCTTTTTTGATAAGAGGAATGGCCCAATCCACAATGGAAGGAGGGGAATAAGTGATATCAATGGCCTTCCTTCCACTTATAATCTCCAAAAGCAAAATCCCAAAACTGAAAACATCAGTCTTGGTGCTCAAATTATCAGGAGTGACATAACAAGGGTCAAGGTAACCCATGGTGCCAGCAGGGGGAGTGGACCTGAGTTTGTAATCATCAACATGGCCTCTAAGGGCCAAACCAAAGTCACCTAACCTAGCATTGTAGCTCCGGTCGATTAAAACATTAGCGGATTTAATGTCACGGTGGATCACAGGGGGCGTTGAGGAGTGAAGAATGTCGATGGCTTTAGCAGTTTGAAGAGCCAGACGAATCCTTCTACCCCAATTGGGAGGCCTTGGAGAGGAATGAAGAACGTCGTAAAGGGTGCCATTGCTCATGAACTCCACCACCAAAAGCCTGTCTTTAGAATCGTTGCTGGTGAAACCGACCAAATTCACCAACCTCGGACTCTGGATTTTGGACAAGATGTCGATCTCGTTGTCCACCTCGTTCGTCATCTGGTGGGGCCGCGAGGGGCGCTTCACCGCCACCGGACGCCCCCGGACCACCGCCTTGTACACGTACCCGTGGCTGCCTTTGCCCAGGAGCTTGCGCTCGGAGAACCCATTCGTCGCCGCTTCAAGGTCGCTGTACTCAAACTCTTGGATCTTTATGTTCTTCTCTTTCTCTTTCTCCTTCACCGAATTCGAGGTTGAGACTGCGGATTCGGCTCTGCACGAGAGGTACAGGTACCCCATTGATTCAAGTTTCTGCCTTTTTGGATTGCGTTAATGAATGAATCGAGGGGTGCTCGCTCGAGGATGGCGATTAACATAAATAAAAGATTACGAGATGGGATGCATCGGATAAAAATGTCTTCTTTCTCAGTGTTGCAAGCAAGTAACTTTTTTTCTTCTTCTTTTTTTTCTTCTTAATGTGATGGGATTGCAAAAATGTGGAACCGTTTCATCCTTTATTAAAATTAAATGGGGGTGATGTCTTGGAGGCTGTGTATCTTTCTCTCTCTGGAAAGTAGTATTGTTGTAAGAGAAAAAGGGTAAGTGGGGACCCGCTTCTTGGAACAATCTTACGCTCATTTTTATAATTTCTTAATCACCTTTTTTATTTCATCTTTTTTGATACATGTATGAAAATATGAAATGTAGTACAAAATTAACGTAGAGGTCACGTTTCTGTTCTTGAAAACACAGCGAATGCAACTAAGATGATTTTGGTGTTTATGTGGAGTTAATGGGGTGATATGAATTAAGGAGATTCACGGATTGGGTTGGTTTCAATTAATTTCTGAAACCAACTTCATCTTCATCTCCACTTTTTAATACCCATGCATTCATATCTTTCTTTGGGTTGGGAGGGGGGGACGGGAGATATATTAATTGATCAGAATTAAACATGCTAATTATAGGATTATGTTTATTAAAAAGAAATTAATCTCCCACAAAATAACATATTACAGTTCAAAGTTTTGCTAAGAACATTTAGTTACGATTTTCAACTATATTTCATGTATGATTGCCTTAACTTCTTAAAAAAATACGTGAAAGAAAATTTCTTTTTATACATATTAAAGTTAAATCATATCACGTTTGTACTATTATTGGTATTTAGTATGTGTAATACATGATTAATGATTATCTTTAAATAATAAATTAATTTTTATTTATACTATTAGAGGATATTAAATTGTTGAAATTAAAAAAAAAACTTTTTAATAATTAATTTTAATCTTAATCATCTACATACATTGTATGAACTAAATTTAAACTCTCAAACACACAATGTCTTGATTTTAAAACCATTTGTATAGTAAATCCATCATTTTCATGAATTACGTTACTCTTATTTTAAACATTTGCGTACAATTCATAATTTTCTAGATGTTAGAATTTTCAATACAAATTTTCGCAATTGAGACTTAGTATTTCAACTGTTACTGATGTTTTTAATTCCCTGTAAAATAAATTAGTGTTAAATGGAAGAAAAAAAATTGAATTTTGTATTTTAATAACATAAAAAAATAATAATTAATTTTCATGTGTAAAAGGTTATCATAAAAGATTTCGAATTATTTATTTAAAATTAAGACTATCCTTCCTATGAAAATGAAATTTATGCATTTCAAATTATGAGGTAGATTTTATATTCTTCAAATGAGAATGAAGACTAATAGAAATGGCGGGTGAGGTTCATTGACCACCAACTTTGTCAAATTTTCAAAGTTTATAATGTTTTAGTTTGAAAAGTTTTTACTGATAAAAAATATATACATATATTGAAATATAAGGTTATTGGTTAATATGGACCCCTACATAGTAATTAAGCAGATGTTGGTATGTTGTGTAGTGTGTACATGAAACCAAACCAAACCAAACCAACCCAATTAGTTAGTGGGCACCGCACCTTAGAAGCCCAACTCGCAAAATGTGGGCACTGCACTTACCATACTCGAAAGCCACTCCATAACTTCCCTAATGCTATGCCTATGTCGAACTACCACGTGTCCACTTTACACAGCACAAATCTTACAAAACTTTATTAATATGCACAAGATAGAGTTGTTATTTTAAGTGATGAAACTCTCTTTTTAGTTATATATTTCAAACTCAAACTATATAATTCAATATTATTGGTTAAATTAGAACAACTCAAATAATTCCATCGACTTCTCGTCATTACTTCATTTTTGAAAAATTTAAAATATATTTAGTTTTCACCGTGAATTGATATTACTATTTCAATTACTTGTCCAATATCTCAATAGCTTAGTGGGCTCTTCCTAATGATTGTTTGGTAGAATGGAGAGATTTATTGTTATGTGGTTTGAGTTGGTGACATGTCAATGGGACTTTGGCATTTGGTCGTCCAAGAGACAGGTATTCCTAATTCAAGTCCCAACCAATAAGATGGTGGCTATCATGTGAATTTAGGTACGTGTAATTAATCCCCTATAATTGTAAGGTCAATTCTTCTAGGATTTTGTTTCTTGAAAGACATTATTATCTTATCGAAAAGATTCAAAAACAATCCTTCATAAGCGACAGTCTATCCAAATTGACTACAAAATTCGTTATTACATTTACAACATCAATAAAAAAAAATTGTTTTTAATATTGTATTCTAAATTAAATTCAAAACATCATAATTTTAAAGTTATTATAAAAATAAGTTGTTGGTTTGAGTAAAACTTAGATCCATCTTCATAAGTAAAGTTTATACTATCCGATCTGTGAAGCTGAGCTCGGAGCTCGGCACCACGACACAGGATGACCTCGGATAGGCGTTATATGACGTCAGCCCGGTACTTAAGCAAATGATAACTGACCTCAAGGGATCTCACCCCAGGCGAGATATGTTATCTGATCTTATCATATCCTATCTCAGGCCCAGAGCCCAAAACAACCCTAACTCACACTAAGGTACGTGCATTATTTATACGAGACTCATACTCATACAAACCCTAACTTTAGCATCGGAGTCTCTTTTGCAGGTACCTCCCCCATCTCGGAGCACCAATACACCATCAAAGGAGGCTCACCGGTCTTACTGGACGGATCACCACCACGACCAAATTCCGGTAAGAACATTTGGCGCCAACCGTGGGGCCGATCACGACAGCTCTCATCGGCCACCTATATGGTTTCTACTAGGAGCCACATCAGACGAGCAACGGACAACGTAAGCCACTCAGTCACCATGGATAGCGACGCAGCAACGTTGAGGAGACCGATCGACCAAGTCGAGCAGACGTGGCAACAATACACCACCGATCCGGAAAACACACGCCCCAAACATGAAACCGACCTGGTCGCAACTCAACCTCGACGACGACACTTTGATCCCCACTCCGACTTTCCACTCAACCCCAGCGGAACAACGCGAGACGTGAAAAACCAGCAAGCAGGGCCAACTCCCCCTCGGGGAGTGGTCTGTACGATTGCAGGAGGCTTCGCAGGAGGGGGTGGTAGCAGCTCAGCCCGCAAAAAACATCTACACAACGTCAACCGTGTGCACTTCACCACCCCAATCCCACACCGGAGCTCGCCCATGATCACTTTCACCGACGACGACTACGCCGAGGTTTATCCCAACCAGGATGATCCCATGGTGATAGCCGTAGCACTGGCCAATTGGGAGGTCCACAAAACCCTAGTCGACCAAGGAAGCTCGGCCGACATCCTCTATTAGCCAACGTTCCTCAGATTAGACATCCCCCACTCTCTCATACAACCTCACAGAACCCCTAGTCGGTTTTGCAGGAAGGAGCGTTCACACTCGAGGGTACGTGGACTTACTAACAACTTTCGGGACACCCCCGGACTCAAGGCGTGTCATGGTTCGATACCTCCTCGTAGATGCGAATGCCTCCTATAACATCATCATCGGCAGACCAACCCTGAACCAGCTCGGAGTAGTGATATCCACCCCACATCTCACCATGAAATTCCCAGGACACGATGGGAAGATTATCTCCGTCAGAGCAAACTCAAAGGCGGCACAGCAATGCTATGCAGAGAGCCTGAAAGTTGCTCCACTCGACGAGCAGCATAAGCACAACCTCACCCCTATGGCTCACACCGGTCACGAAGAAATCACCGACCTCGATCCAAGATCCGATGCTCAAGATGAGCGTCCCAGTCCTGTCGACGAGCTCGATGACCTCCAGATCAGAAAACTCCTCGGGCAAACCACGAAGATAAGCAAACGGTTGACCCAAGAGCTGCGACAGCAGCTTGAAGCGGAGATCCTGAAGAACGCCGACCTCTTCGCCTGGTCTAGTGCTGACATGCCAGGCATAAGCGCCGATCTTATCTGCCATAAACTAGCCATACACAAGGAGGCAAAACTAGTCGCCCAGAGGAAAAGAAAGGTCGGCGGTGAAAGAAGGGAGGCCATCGTCGCTGAGACACAGAAATTACTCAAAGCCAGTTTCATCCGTGAAGTCAGATATACCACCTGGCTGGCAAACGTAGTCCTAGTAAAGAAGATCTCGGGAAAGTGGCGCATGTGCGTCGACTATACCGATCTAAACAAAGCATGCCCCAAGGACTCGTATCCTCTTCCGAGCATTGACAGGTTAGTCGATGGAGCCTCCGGACATGCCCTCCTCAGCTTCCTTGACGCCTACTCTGGGTACAATCAGATAATGATGTACCCACCCGATGAAGTACACACGTCCTTCATCACCGACCACGCCAACTACTGCTACCGGGTGATGCCCTTCGGCCTAAAAAATGCTGGAGCGACCTACCAGCGGCTGATGGACAAGGTTTTCCATCAACAGATCGGGAGAAACATGGAAGTCTATGTTGACGACATGGTAGTCAAGACCACTTCGGCAATAGACCATGCTACCGACCTCGCCGAAGTGTTTGCCCAGGTCAGAAAGCACAACATGCGCCTCAACCCGGAGAAGTGCGTCTTCGGCGTCCAGGGAGGTAAATTCCTCGGCTTCATGATCATTAGCAGAGGAATCGAGGCTAATCCCGAGAAATGCAAAGCCATCATCCAGATGCAAAGCCCCCAAACGGTAAAAGAGGTCCAACGCCTGGCCGGGCGATTAGTCTCTTTGTCCCGTTTTATTCCCAAACTCGCGGAGAAAGCAGGACCAATCTTCACCCTGTTAAAAAATCCAAAAGATTTCCGATGGACAGATCAGTGCGAAGAAGCTTTCCAAAGCTTCAAATCATTCCTCACCACTCCACCAATCCTACAGAGGCCGAACCACAACACTGACCTCCTCCTCTACCTTGCGGTAGCAGAGAACGTCATCAGTGCAGTTATCGTACAAGAGCATCAAAAAGTACAAACCCCTATTTACTTCATCAGCCGAGTCCTCCAGGACGCGGAGAGAAGATATCAGATGATCGAAAAGTTGGCATTAGCACTCGTCACCGCAGCCCGACGACTCCGACCTTACTTCCAAAGCCATCAGGTGGTAGTTAAAACTGACTATCCCATCAAACAAATCTTGCGAAAGCCCGAACTCGTTGGACGCATGATCGCCTGGTCAGTAGAACTATCCGAGTTCGGCATCCAATACGAAGGTCACGGACCACTAAAGGCCCAATGCCTGGCCGACTTCGTAGCCGAGCTCACACCAATTGTCACCGAGGAACCCCAGGCGTGGACTTTGCATGTGGATGGATCCTCCAACTCCAAAGGAGGCGGTGCAGGCATCATTCTGGAAGGGCCAAAC